AAAAGTGATTCTGGACACTAGATTTCTGTGGGAGCTCAAGGCAACAGCTTCATATTTTCTTCATCTTCCTTGGATTTCATCCAAAACCAATTCTGCTTAATCTGCCTGCTGCTGCTCTGGAAGTGACATCTGTTCAAATTTACACTCTTTATCATGGCTGACATGTTGTTTGTGTGTATGTTTACCCCAAGCCCTAGTTCTAACTGCCTCCTGCAGATAATTTGTGATTTCTTCCTTCAGTCTCTCATAGGTTGCTAGGCATTGCATCTCTACATACGAAGTTTTGCTCTTATTTCTTATTTTTTCAACTAACTCTACTAGAATTATGTTTACAGAAAAAGTCAGAAGTATAAATGCAACATGTGTCTCATCAAATATACCTCTGGTGTTGGGAGGTATTTGACAGAGAATGTGTGTAATAATCTTAGCTAATATCCATAAGTACTACCAAAATACCTAGAGGTAACCAGCTAACTTGACTATTTGACGCCTATAACAATGCGTGCATTCCATTATTTGTGATACATTTTGGTTACTCTTTGTAAAAAAACCAGACAAACACATAAAAACAAACAAACAAAAAACCCTCGGCTACCTCTAGACTAACTCATCTTGTTAGTCTTTAAAGTGCTACATAGCACTTTTTGCGGAAAAGCGTCCGTGCCAATCTAGATGCGCTTTTGTGCAAAAAAGCTCCGATCGCCATTTTCACGATCAGGGCTTTTTTGCACAAAACAAATCTGAGCTGTCTACATTAGCCTTTTTGAACAAAAGCTTTGCGCAAAAGGACTTTTGACCGAACGGGAGCAGCATGGTATTTCCGCAAGAAGCACTGATTTCAGACAGTAGGAAGTCAGTGTTCTTGCGGAAATTCAAGCGGCCAGTGTAGACAGATGGCAAGTTTTTCCGCAAAAGCGGGTGCTTTTGCGGAAAAACTTGCCAGTCTAGATGCAGCTGTAGTTTTTGCTGTACAGGTAGGCTTATGCTAAAATTATGAGATACACAAGATCTGAACTGATATCAGATTTTTGTGGCTTTTGGTTCATATTTATGCATAGGTAGATGTGTATACACACACACACAATTACGGCCCGCTCCACCCATCCAAAAATCAGTAATCAGATCTCCAAAAAAAAAAAAAAATCAAAGCTAGAAACTCTTTATTTTTGAGATTCTTACAAAATCACTTGACTCCAGGAGTTGGAACTATTAAAATAACACGAAATATCTTCGGACACATGATAGAATTACAAGGGCTGCAACACTGTGTATATTAAGATGAGTATATCTGTATTACATACAACCTGAGGGGGAGGGATTATTAGTAAAGTATGTGTAAACCATGACACCAAAAAGAGTGTCAGAAATCATAGAATTCCATGTCATTGCTAGATCTAGATACAACACTTGGAATAACTGGGATGTTTGTTTCTCAAAGGTAATATGAAAACGAAGCAAACACTCAGCAAGAGAATGCACTGACATTCACTAAAGAATTCTGCAAGGAAGATAAATTATTAAAGCAAGTAAAAGGAGTGCTGAAACCTACTAGTTAATGATGTTTTGGATTATCAGAGAGTGAAAAATAAATTTAGGAAGAACGAGCTTCAAATTTTATTTAGAACTCAGTTACTACTGTGACATGCATGGTGTAAAAATGCAGATTAAAAGGATTAAGCAGTGGGCATGTCTACACTAGGAAATTATTTCAAAAAAACTGAGTTTGAAATAACTCCCAAAATAACAAAATCAAAATAGCCTCCCACTATAGGGGAGGCTTGAAATTGGTCCCAGGCAGGCTCTGCTAT